GAGTTGGCCAAAAGAGGATTTTAGATAAGCATGAAGAAGGACAAATCATAGCTGAGTCTGGAGCGTAGATTCTCCGTTCTCTTTTGTGAGTATGAGCCTGGGATTTTGCTGCCTGTGCACAGCTGACGCTGGCAGAGTGAAGAGCCATCCTGCTTTTGAGCAGATTCCAATGGATGTACATGACAGTCATGGAGCAGGCATATAAGGAAGGTAGTTCAGTATTTTTTGTTATGTGGGAGTTGCTCCAGATAGTTCTTGGTTAGTCAAGTGCTCTGTAAGTGTTAAGTTCTCTTGTGACAGATGAGTCCCCAGCTCGGGATGCATATTTCATGATTGTGCATTGTTATTGCCAGTGCAGTGACTAGTGAGAAGACATCAGAGAAAAAGCATCCTTTAAAATAAAAGTAATCATGAGGGTCCACTTTAAAAAAGCATATATTGAAAATACTTTAACATATTAGAAGTTGAAACATTGTGGAATTCCTCATGTTGTTATTAAGCAAAGATAGCCTGCTGGAGCAATTAGTTCAGTGTATGTCTCTTGAGTCAAAAAAGTGGAAGGGAAGAGAGATGAATTCTTGCCTCTGGCAAAGTTTAATTCTTCACTGTTGTCTTAGCACCACATTAGGAGTTACGTAACACACATTCTGTGTGGTATAGGTCATGTTGCTATCATTGCCTGGATTCGTTTGGGAACACAGCTGTTTGTCCAGTGGGAAATTCTGCATCTGTGTTCCTGTTACTGAAAGAAAATTACGTAGATCTAAACCCTGATTTACCCCTACAAAACCTCCCTAGAAGAATTTGGCTAGAATCCTAAAACAAGTGTGCATCTGAGTGTAATGAATTTGGCAAATGACATTTAAGTCAATTATGTGATAAAAGAGCTGGGAGCTGCAGAGAGTAACTAATTAATATTGCAATATAAGTGTTTTCATATAATTGCTGAACTACTGTAACTGTAGGAGTTACATTTGATTTCACTGAAGCTTTTTAGGAAATCAGCTGAAAACATGTCAGTCTTAGAGTACTTTTTGTATATGCGTAATTCAAACTGTTAAGTGCATTTTAACTCTGGAAAAAAGTAGGTATTAAAAAACTAAACTTTTATTAAATCAAAATTCTTGTAAGGAGTTTTTCTTTTTTTTTTTTTTTACTTTGTTCTCCTTTTTAACATTCAACTTCGGTTACTGTTTACTAGACCTCATACATAATTGACAGTGGTGATTTTTTTTTTTTTGTCAAACCTCTATGCTTGAGAGAATTCCTAGTTAACCAGAGGAAGCCACCTGCTAAGAGAGCAGGACCATGAGATCTAAATAGTGTGCAGGGCTCAACCTTACAACTTTTATGATCTCAGTGATGAAAAAGATGTTTACAGGCTAACCAGCATAAAACTGATGAATTTCTGATCTCATCTTTTCTCCATAGACATTCAAGAATAGGGAAAAATTACTTAGGAAGTGGGAAAGTTTACTACCCTCAGGCAATGCAAAATAATGGTTTCTATGTCAGGTCTTAGTAATGCTTGTTTTATAGCAGTTACAGGCCAATATGATTCTTGCAGAAGACTGTGTGAGAGAAGGCCAATCCTTGCAGAGAGAAATTTCATGATTGCTGAGGATTTGAAGTGGAGGTGTTTTAACCAAGACTGACACAAAAACAAGTGCAGAGATCCATGCTTCTCCATTTAAGGACAAATGGTCCCTTCAAAGGTTTTGCTGGCCTCTATAAGAGGAAAAGAGGAACTCTTGCTCCTCCCGATTACAAAGGTTTCAAGAAGGTGCTCTCCATTTCTGGTCTATTCTAGCACCTTAAATAGGCCTCAATCTCATTTTGAGATCTGTAAGGACTTTTCTACAGTGTTGCTGTAGGGCTGAAGACTGTACCCACAAAGTGTTTGTTCTTTTTGTACAGAAGAGTCATGAAAGAAATAATGCAAACAACAGAGGTGTGTACTGGATCCTTTCTTTATCTGGAAGATAGGCAGCATTTGTAGGATTACTATTTTTTACCTTTCTAAGATTACTATTTTTATGTCTTCTACATAGCCATTATGTAAATGTTGACCATCTCTACTTCTAAGGTCCCTTCTGTTAGTAATTATTATTGAATTTTGCCCAGAGAGATTAAGTCAGTAAGAGCTTCAGATACTGCAGTTCTAAAGCAAATCTGCGTACTTCACATTGCGATATTTGGATTTGGGGGCCAAATTTAAAAAATATGCAGAGGTATTCCAAATTTTCACTTGCATTGACTTTCCTGTTGTAGACAAGGGCCTACACCTTTAGGTGTACTTTGTATCCGGCCGGTGCATGAACAGCCCCTCAGCAGAGAGGGGAGCGTTGATGGGAGAGGGTTGTATTTACCCAAAATCTCAAGTGGATGTTTACCAACCCAGGAGCCAAAGGGGCCTGTTGTGTGGCACGGGAGCCCACAGCACCATTCAGTGCTCTGGGGCAGGGGCTAAGGCCTCTTTGGCCCCCCGGCTGGTAAATATCCACTTGAGGTTGTTATTACCGGGAAGGAGGTAGCAGGAGGGACAGGGTGGCCTATGCAAGGGTAAAGCATCGTCCCTTTGCATTTTTACTGAGGGCACTAGGCTAGTAGTCGATGGTGAGACCTTGCTTCCCTCTAGGGCTAGTGCTGCAGAGCAGAACTGACTCCTGTAACAGGCAAGATTGTTCTGACATCTTACTGCTGTTTGCTTGCCAGCTGACTATTCTTGCTTTCTTTGAGGCTAAAAAATAAGAATGAAACATTCATCATGCTTTGCCTGTCATTGATGTGTTAACATCACAGCTTCTTCCCTGTTGAACTCTAAAATGCAGCTTCACTACTTGTTCGTTGAGGTTTATCTTCATCACATTATGAAGGATGATGATCGTTCAATCACAGCAAGCGTAAGTATATGCACTGACTCCTGGACAGTTTAGACAGACCTACCTGTATCTCCTTGGCGTAAGTGAAAGGTGATGGCTGAATCCCTCAAACACATTTTTTTTCAAGACTTTAGTCTCATAAGTGTAGGACTGAAAGAAAACAGATGGGTCACAGAGTGCCATCTTCTGCAACTGCAGAAAAACAGGCAATAGGTATTAAATTCAAATTTGTTCTCATATCAGGGACCACAGAGCACTTCCCAAAATATTATGAAAACTTCAGATTTGTAGTAAAAAATCAAAAGTCACAGTGCTAATGGACAGCAAGATCATGAGAGAGATTGAGAGCAACAACAACAATATCCTACATCCCTTCAAAGTTAGAGAATGGTCTTCTCACCTAGTTCCACAAGAGAAATCTTTCACTGTATTCACAGTGATGCAGTCTGGTGATCAGTATTAATTTTCTGTTACTTGGGTTTGCGTAACACAAAATTTATAGCAGAATGCCAAAGTTTTCACCACCAGCTCAACTAAGGAGACAGGCGACATAAGCTTCCCCTCAGCTCTGCTTTATTCCTTTGTTTCTGTTAAACAGAGTTAAAGTTGTGATGATTTCCTTCATTCCAACCTGCGTAACCTTCCGCAGAACTAGTCATCTTTCGGCTCATATGGTGCATTCATAAATGTCCTGCAAGGATCACAAACATCCTAATGAGCATGTGAGGGTTGCTATGTAATTAAGCCTGTAATGGTACCAGAAAGCCAAATATGTTCATCTATATAAATTTAAATGTAAGGAGTTTGGAAAAATATGTGATGGTTTGAGAACTTTGTGAAAAGCACCTGCTGAGCTGTAGAAGTGGTGGTGGAAATGGTGGTGTAGCGCTGTAGTCGGCACTGCATGCACCCTGGAGGGGTAAGAAGCATTTATAGCTATTTTAACGTCCTCAGGAAGAGCAAGGTTTATCCGACTGTTTAATCTGAGCACGTACCTGGACTCGAGGGAAAATGGGCAGCGCCACACGCAGGGACAAGATCTTAGAGTAAGTAAAAAGATGAGTGTTCTTTCTCACCCCTTTGTTCCACTGCACTTATCAGTTGTCAGATAGCTGCAAACCCAGATTATACAGCGAAATCTGACCCTACGACGGGCAGCAGAAGAGGCTGTTGGCTGGTGCACACAGAGAGATCACAAGGAGCGACGCGCCTGAGGCACCGTGCTGCTTACACCGTGCACGTACAGCTCGGCCAGCGCTCCCAGCCTTCCCATGGGATCTCATTTCCAGATGCAGCCTTAGTTACTCAGCTCGACCACATAATTCATTGCCATTAAAAGCCTTTTTACTAGTTGTTTTTCCAGAGGACAACAAAAATTCATCACTTCTTTGTTTGCACTGATA